GAGAGAGAGAGAGAGAGAGAGAGAGAGAGAGAGAGAGAGAGAGAGAGAGAGAGAGAGTGGCCCGTGTAGGTGGACGGGAGGGAGTACCAGTGGTAAGGATTTGTGCTGATTGGCGAGAGCGAGGTGTGCGAGAATCGCCGTGTCCGTGTGGTGTTGAGTGTGGTGTGTGTCGAGTTGCACACTACAGCCTTTGCAGGGGTGGGGTGGATATCACGACCGGTATGGCTCCACTTTTGAACACCGTGTCCTGCCTGGTTGTAGTGGTTATGATACCTGGCTCTTGAGGCCGAGGTCGTCGGTTCAAATCCGTGCTTGCACGGTGGAGGACGTCGAGCTCATGCTGGGATGTGTAGCACCTTCCTGTAACCTCAGCTGTTGGGGAGTTAGATCAACTTAGATGTGCAGATTCACTTAGCTCAGTTAGCTGCTGTCTCTCTGTCTGTGTGTGGTGTGTGTGTGTGTGAATGTGTGTGTGTGTGTGTGTGTGTGGTGTGGTGTGTGAATGTGTGTGTGTGTGTGTGTGTGTGTGTGTGGGTGGGTGGGTGTGGTGTGGTGTGGTGTGTTGTCATGTTCGCTATACACAACTCCGCAAAAAAAAGCATGACTGTGCCAGACTGTTTTGTCGGACTTTCGCTGACTCATGAGGAGGTGTGTGTTTTGAATTTTCACCACAACAGCCCCTATTCCACCCATATGAGCAGATCCAAAATCAAAGCATATTCAATCCTATTGCAGGCAACGAAAACACTTACGAGTTGAGGCAATCCAACAATGAAACAGTTTCACCTCTATAGAGCAAGCAACATGGAGTTTCTCAATTGTGTTTACGTCTGCTTTCTTTGGGGTACCCCTTTCCTTTGTTCTTCCGGCTCCCCCTTTACCGTGCCTCTCATGTACAAGGGTCGCCTGGGAAAACTGCCAGTTTTCCCTATTTTCCCAACACTGGCGGAGGTACTAGTGCTTTAATGATGCTCATCCGTATGTATTACTAGTAATACACAAGAGGGGTGGGACGGGGAGGAAGTGGAGTGGCAAGGGGCAGAACAGAGATATGGCAAACTTTACAGGGTTCTACATACTCACCACTGGAGCAGACTACTCTCGAATGTCACAAGAGTCCAGTCTGTCAGTCTATGGGCTGCAGAAAATTTTGAGTTGAGGAGTAGCTGTTGCCTACCTTCTTCTTCACCCGAATACAGCGTACCGTCATTATTGCTGTATTTGGACGGAAAGATAGCCCAAATACAGCGATAATGACAGTACGTTGTATTCGGGTGAAGAAGGTAGGGTAAGTGGCCACTCCTACAGACCGGACAGGACCGGTTCGGGTGTGGACTGCGGAAGCACCGCATCCAATTCTTGCAGTCGCAGTCGCTGCATCGAATGGCACGGCATAGACAGATGTCACACAGGCTACGTGGTCCCCACATGCTAGGAACGGTGTAGACAGATGCACACCGACCACAATTGTAGACAGATGCACACCGACCACATTTGTAGAGGCATTGTCGTTGCAGTCCCCTGTCTACAAATTGGACATGACGTGTTAGGGTGTCGTACATGAGTGCGGTATTGACTGTCATCGTACATATGAAAACAAAAAACTCCCATGGGCTATCCCTTCCTAATCCTCACAGCACAAGGCATGTGAACCACACGCAAGCCGAATCTCAGGTGGGTCATCATAGAGCAGCATTGAGCAGGTTTCATTGGTTTCCCCAGTATTTATTCGCTCTCTCTGGGCAGACGACGACGGGGATTGATCCAAAGCCAGGGTGTTTAGCTGCTGGAGGATTTGGTCTGCAACAGCACATGCCCTGGTGGTGATAACCTTTCAGTACAGCGCTCTGTAGGTGGTTCATATGGTAGTCTATGTTCCTCCTCAGGCTGCTGCATCTGTCACTCGTCTGGCAAGGATGGAGGAGATCCGACTGCGACTGCAGCTGGTGTATGCTCAACATTGCAAGTGGGACATGCTAAGACCTGTGGCCGATGATGGCATCGGGGAGACTCCACGCAGTAGAGACATACTTTCTATGACAGCTTCCTGGAAACATTGACGACACATGGCATGTTGCTGACATGTCAGCAGGAAAGCAGGCTGATGTTCACAGCTATCTAGGCATGGCATGTCCAGGCCACGACGGCATACTGGGCAAGTAATTTGGGGTGGGAGGGATGAGTACAAGACAAAGGGTCGCAGTTTTCGCGGCAGAGGCTGGCAGTCACCATCCCTTCATTGTGTTCGGAGAAGACACTATGAATGCCGTGTGCATGGTAACCGTACTGTAGCTGTGTAATGACAGAATGGGATGGCACAGCCACAGTCCTCTGGAGAGGCTCCTTCACTGACCGTGGTAGAATCGGTCCAATCTATACAGGGAGGGGACATTTCCTGGCCATGCACAGGGGAAGGAGGAGGTTCAGCCGGATTGCTCTCCGGAGGCTGTAGAGCGTGTGCGTGTGCCGCAGCCACTCATGAAAGGATGATGTGCGTATGCGTGTGTGTGAATGTGTTGTATCAGAAATCCTCAAAATCAACCTCAATATATCCCAGCATAAAGACTACGATAACCAGAGTGCCAGGCAGGCCACGCCTCTGTAGTTGAGCCTGCATACCGGTCTGTGTAAAGCGCACTTGCACCCACAAATGAGCAAACAAACAAATAAAGCACTCAAACAAACAGAAGATATCAGTATCCAATGTCCATGCATACACGTGTGGGTGTCGGGGGGGGGAGTGGGTGTGTTGTCATGCTCACTATGCATAACTCTACAAGAAAAGCATGACTGTGCAAGACCATTTCATCGGACTTTCACCAACTCATCAGGAGGCTGAACCCCAACAGTCTTCCCAAGATGTATTTGACTAAAGGATCAGGACTCGCCACGTGACCCAGTGGCAGTTAGTGATACCCCTGAGAAAAGTGGCCGAGTTCACTCACACCAGGGTGTGTGTGTGTGTGTGTGTGTGTGTGTGTGTGTGTGTGTGTGTGTGTGTGTGTGTGTGTGTGTGTGTGTGTGTGTGTG